TTGAATGTTTATGTATTGAAACACTCAGAAAATAATCATTAGATGTTTGTCTACAATATATAAACATCTGGTGAAAGGCAATTTAGGAAATTCAAATGCACTTGCTCAGTAAAACACAATGCATTTTTGTGCTTTTTGTTATGTCGCTCTGCTCTGTGATTGTTTTGTTTGATGAAATATTTTCTGACAAAATGATGCTACATTGAACAGTAATTGTCATTTGGTTTTTGGGAAATGTGATTGTGTTTTCTAAAACATCATTGTGGTTTTTGTTCTGATGATGTGTGTTTAAAAAAAGAAGAATGTCACTGTGGTTCATGACATGTTCTTCAGCTTTTTAATAAGGTGGGTTTTTTGAAGTGTTTACTTTGACACCTCTGAAMCACCTGCTGGTTTACTCATAATGACAGATGTCAACCTTCTGAAAYCAGTGCAGTTCAGCGACACTACACTGCAGTATTGCAAAAAAGAAGTGTAAAAAAATATGTTTTTAATGACAGGCTAGAACAAACAAGGGGACAAGTTTTAATCTCAAACGTGAACATTTAATTGCAGAAGAACATAAAAGTCTTACACAACCTTCAAGCTGGACCAAAACAGACCTGAGCCTCGAAGTTTTGGCCCCGAACCTGGAAATCACTAGCCTGGCCCTTGCCTTCCTACGCAGTCCCACTCAATTCTAGTTTCCCTTCTCTGCTCCGTCTGGGACTTCTCCCATTAACAAGGATTTCGCTGGCAGATTTTTAGCCGGGCCAATCAGAGAACAGAACGTTGATTTTCTGCGCAGCGTCTGCTTGTAGTTTATTTTACTTGGGCCAATCAGAGAACAGAAGGAGGAGTTTTGAACGACGTCGACTTTCTGCACAGTGTCTGCTAGTTAGTTTATCATACGGCATTGAGGAAGTGAATGAAGCCAGTCCGTGTTGATAAGGCTTCCAAATTAAAATAAATTTGTCAGACAAAGCAGCAGCTCTCATTTACAGTCGTCTCGTTCAGCTCGGTATATTTCTCCTCTCAGTAGAGTTGTTTACAGCACTCGCGATTTCCGGTTAGCTTCTTAGCTTAGCCTCCGTCACAGCGACAACACATACACGCTTCAGCAGAGGCCACGCCTACTGCAAGAATCGCTTTTCAGTAGCAGTGAGTCCAGACCCTTGTACGAAGCAAAGTGAAGGACAGGGTCTGGTTTTTACCAGGSTAGGAAATCACATAGCTCTTATACACAAACTTATGACTGATTCATTCCGTGTTGGGCAAAATACAGTATGTCACTGCTGTGTGTTGACTGAAAAAGTGATGACTTTTCTGAAACAAGCTCATATTAAACAGTGGATCAACAGGAAATCTGTGCAGTCTTGTTCACATCAATAGCTGTAGAGGTCATGATGGTGTATGAACATGGTGTGAAATTGTGTGCGTGTGTGCGCACATAAATAAAGTAACTTTCCCTTACTCATCAATATCTTCTCACCTCTCTGTCTTTCACCTAGATGGTGTATAAGCCCTGGCTGTGTTCTCAGTACTTCCAGACCACCCAGATGCACTGCAGCAAGCGAATCCCCTGTGGCCAGTACTGCCTGGAGGTGCAACAGCGGTGCCCCTTTGTCCTGCCTGACAATGATGATCTCATTCATGGAGGCAGCCCCAGTTTTATATGCACAGGTACGATGTAATCAGCATAAAATACCCAGTTTTTATTTTTCTTGCTCCTTCATTTGATACTTTGAATATTAAACATGCAGCACTCAAATACTCCTACACCAGTAGTTCATGAGCAGTTTGGCTTTAGGGTTTTGCTGATTGAAGGGATAGAAGAACATTACTTTTTTCCAAATCCTGGGATTCAGAGCTATGAGTAACAAGCTCTCTCTRACCCCTACAGCTCTCACCTATTTTTTTTCTGCGTCACTTGCACTCAGCTTTAAGAACTTTAATGAGTAAGCACATAAGCTCAGGGCTCAGAGCCTGATGTTTAACTCAGTAATACTTCAGTGGGAAACTTAACCTCTGACAGACACACAGGGAACTTTACTGAGTTTACACTTACAGGTTGTTCTGTCAAATGAGGCTAACAAGGTCACACTGTACCATTAAACTGCCTGTGACTCATACAGCGGGTAAAATAAGTATCGAACACGTCACCATTTTTCTCAGTAAATATATTACTAGAGGTGCTAATGACATGAAATTTTCACCAGATGTCGGTAACAAC